CAGTAGTGCATGGTGTGTTGTCTACTTCTAAGAAGAGTTGGTTGGAAAGAAAGTGCTGACATTCAGGGGCAACAGAATTGAGAATGGAGAGAGAACGTTTCTGATGGTGTCAGAGTCTGATTCCTGTCTTCCCGGAGCCCAGATCCATCCCAAACTTGATCAGGTGGTGCAGCACACTGGACACTGGGGTGCCATTGGGAGACAAAACAGGGGATTCGGTTGAATCGGCAACAGGTGACAGACCAGGAAGGGTCAGGAGAGGGAGCTTGGCATTAACCTGGGGGCAGTGGAAAGTCATGCACAGAGGGCCTTGATGAGGGAGAGACATGGTCAGATCTATGTTTTTGAAAGGTCATTCTAGAGAATAGTCTTGTGGCAGAGGAGCTGGTGAGAAGGCTGATCTACTCATTCTTGGGACAGATGTCATGTGCAGGGGAGGCCCAAACTTCAGAAGCAGACCCTCAGATTCCAGTTGTAGCTACACATTCAGTTGCTGTTTGAACTTTCATTTATGCCAGAGGGAGATAAAAGTGAGACCAGGGAGAGAAATTAGACTTCATGTGGCCATTAAACCAGTCTGGAGCTGTGATCCAAAGATCCAGGTTCTCATTCTAGAGGGTCTGAGAAAACATATACATAGAAAGACCTGAACATAGAAACTCTTACCACCCATGCCCCTTCCAATCTCAGCCAACCTCCTACAGCAATTCCTGCCCATCTTCCATGAACTGACTGTGAAGGAGAAGGCAGGCAGAGGAGACTTCTAAGGATCAGGGTAAAGGAAGAAGGATTGCTGAGCCAGCCCTAGAAAGAGATGCCATTGTCCCTGGTGGGGCCCCAGGCCTTCCCTCACCCCCAGGCCAGCTCCAAACCACAGGCCACGTCCTGTTTCTCAGAAATACTGCCATTTCCCAGAGCCCAGTGTTCTTGGGGGGGGGATGGGAGGACATGGCTTCACAGCTGCTGCAGGAAGAGGAGGAGGAAGCCTCCCCAGGAAACCTGGAGGCCAGGTCTGGCACTGTAATAGGATGATACAGTTTGGGGGTCAGGAGGGTCAAGTGGGAGAGAGGTTCTGAGCCCAGGTCTGCTGCACCTGACTCAGCCCAGGATCTGGCCCCCTCCAGTGCTCTGGGATTTTTAAGGATACTGTATCATAGTCCTCAGTTGGAACCAAACTCCTCCATTTGCTATTATGTGGTCGCTTTCCCTGAGCCTTAATGTCCTCATCTCTATGATATTGTTAACAAGCCCCACCTCACTGGGTTGTCCTTGGGATCAGAAAAGACAATGAATATGAAACTGCTTTGTTTATTAATGGCCATTCATGTGGGAAGGGATGTCACTGGTCACCAGGAAGGACAGTGGATCTATAGGACTCCCTGCTGGACCCTTGGGAAGCCCCAGGAGGGGAAGAGCTGGGCAGCCCTGGAGACTACCTCTCCTGTCTCCCCCATCTCTGTCATGGGAGACAAGTCAGGGTTACACAGCAATTCTGCAGCCAAGAAAAATGGGTTTTAGTTTGTCCTTGAACCTCATCTTCCTCCCTCCTACTTCTGTTTTTTTTTTTTTTTTTCTTTTTCTTCTCATCACTGAGACTTGCTTGAATCTCCCATAGAAAACCCTTCTTCCATCTCATGTGCACAGCCAACCACTCTTTTGCCTCTCTCCTTTATAGCCAAATTTCTTTTATTATTTATTTATTTACTTGCTTGCTTGCTTGCTTACTTGCTTAGTTTTTGGTACTGGGGATTGAACCCAGGAGAGCTTTACCACTAAGTTACATCCCTAGCCCTTTTTATTTTGAGACAGAGGCTTTGTAAGTTGCTGAGGGTCTCCCTAAATTCTGATCCTGGCCTCGAACTTACAATTCTGATCCTGCTTCAGCCTCCCAAGTTGCTGGGATTATAAGCATGCACTACCAGCCTGGCCCTTCTTTAATACCAGATTCCTTAAAAGACTTTTCAATTTCCTCACTCCCCAGATACCACCTCAACCCCACCTCCCAAACCCCAGCATCTCCCTGTCAACAATCCTGACATTGCTGATTGCCATGGTCACCAGAGCCCTCTTGTCCTCACAGAGGGCTCTTTAAGACCTCATCTAGCAGACTTCTCAACCTCCATTCCTCCTGCTTTCCCTCTAAACTTTGCAGTTGTTCCCTTGTTGATGGCTCTGTCCTTGTCCCCCTTCTCGTTTCATTCTTTAGTCTCTCCGCTGGCTTTACAGTGCCCACCCCCATCTCTGGCCCAGCCTTCTCTCCTGATCCCTAATATGCCCAAAGAGCTATGGCTGTCTCCGGAGACTCCAGGTGTGCCCAGCTGAAATTTCTGGGTCCTTTTCCCTGTTGTCACCAGGTGAGACTCCAGGAACACATGGACTCCTCCCTCTCCTTCACTCCTACATCCAGTCAGTTGGTTGTCCTCTCTGCCTCTCCATGACCTCCCTCCTACCAGGCCATTGTCATCATCCCTCACTTGGATTCCCACAACTACCTCCTACCTGGTCTCAGCCTCTTTCTCCCAACCTCTAAGCCCCTTCCGGTTTTCTAAACCACACATCCAACCACAGTGCTACCCAGGCTCCCCAGTGCCCTAGAATGAAGTCAGAGACTCAGCCAGACAGGCAACCTCACTTCCCTTTGCCCATTGCCTCAAACTATTGTCTCACAACAGTGAGCTATTTGTGATTCTCCCTATTTTTCATCTCCCATGGAGTTTTCTCTATGTAGGCTATCACCAGCCCTCCTCTCTCTTCATCTTCCTCTTTTTCCTTTTTGTTTTTTGGGGACTAGGGATTGAACCAAGGGGTGCTTTACCACTGAGCCACATCCCCAGACCTTTTTATTTTTTATTTGAGACAGGATCTCAATAAGTTGCTTAGGGTTTCACTGAGGCTGGCCTTGCTCAATTGCTGAAGTTTATCTTGAACTTGGGATCTTCCTGCCTCAGCCTCCCAAGTCACTGGGATTACAGGTGTGCACACCCTCACCTGGCACCCCCACACCTTTCCCACCTCCTCATCCTTCAGCGCCATCTTGTTCTTCCTCAGTTTTGGCAGGGCATTGTACTCCCCACAGTCCCTGCCAACACCACCCTCAGCACTCAGGTGTCACAACACTTTCATCTCCCCCTTCTCCTCAGGACTTGGGGCTTCCTTAGGATGGGAAGGGCAATTTTGACTCCTTGCTCTGTGTCAAAGGTTTAGCACAGGGCCTAGGCAGAGTGGCTCAGAAAATGTTTTATGAACAATGATGGAAGGAAAAGACAACTAGAATGGTGTGAGCTTCTTGGATTAACACCACTGTGTTCGCACACTGAGAAAGGCCCAGACTGATTTAAGGAGGGGTTGATGTGCCCCTACCATGGTGGAACATGGGATTCACAGCATAGGCTTCAGATAAGTGAAAAGCCCATTAAAGCAACCAGGATGGCAGATTGGCTTGCAACAGCAGGATAACTATACAGGGGAAGCTATTCCTGTCCAGGGACCCTGAGGTTAGCACCTCCAAGACCACTCTCTAGCAGAGGGGAGGGGCCTGGCACCAGGGCAGGGTTGGGGAAGGTGTCAGGGAAAGCTTCACTAGAAGAACACATCCGAGCTAGCTTGAAAGAGGACCAAAGGTCACCATGTGAATGGCTGGGCCTTGCAGTTCTTGTGCTACTTTAAATATGGGATGCTCAGAGCCCATTCTGAGTTCCAGGTTAAGCCTGTGTGGGAACAAGGCAGGCTGAAGTAAAGAGTCTTCTTCAGGAGGGACAGGCAAAGGCTACGGGGGAAGGAGATGAATGTCTTTTGACTCAGGGGATGAGGGTAAGGCTCTGGCCATGTTACTCAATTCCCAGTATCTCAAACCAGGGGCCCCAGATCTGGCAAAGGGAGCTTGAGGAAGTTGGACACCCATCCCTGATCAGTGGGGGTGACATTGGTGGGATACTTAGCTGTCTTTCTGGACCTCAGGAACCCTAGATTGGAGGCCAAGACTACGAGAACAGTTGTCAGGCCCTCTAAGTGGCTGCATAAGTATCCTCTCCACCTTTTCTCCAGGGCTTTCAACCAGTCCTGGGCAAGGTGTCCATAGGGAGCTGTGGCTGCAGGAAGTTGAGACCAACTGTACCAGAGCCTCTGGTCCTGCTTCAACACTCCAAATGCTGTGAGGCGTTGGGGAAGAGAACACCTTTCGGAGCCTCCCATTCCTTCTCTCTACAAAGGGCATAAATCCTATACTTACTAACCTTAAGGAAATCGTGGGTCTTAAAACGTTTTTGATATTGCAAGGACAATGCATGTGGACAGGATCAATTATTGATCTGTGTTTCGTTATATGTGTTAGTCCTTCTTCTCATGATGCCAAGTTGGCCATTTGACTGCAAAGCCTTGGAACGCCTCAGAGGTGAAAATATTTGGGCTTCTAACATTAATCCCAGCATGGAACTGGGGAAGGAGTGCCAGCCTGAGCACAGCCCTGGCTTCCAGTTCTACCTTTGCTAATAACCAGCTCTGTGCCTTCTGGCAAATGCTGCTTATGCTCCTTAAACTCAGTTTTGTCTCTATCAAGGGACTGAAAATGGTGAGGGCCCCTGACTCCTGGGGAAGGGCTTTGGGGCTCCATTCACTACACTGCTGGCTAACTGAGTCAGTGCCCCTTCTTGGGCTCAGTGCCACTTAGGTGAGGCCAGGAGGGTTGGGGTGGGGGAAGAAACTGCTCGTAAAAGCAGGAGCTGCTTTAGTGGGGGGCTTGGGGATAGAGGAAGTGCTGGGCAGAGGACAAGGGTACTGTAGCACACAAGGGCCTGGGCTACGAGGCTGAAGGAACTCTCCCTGGCTCCAGTGGCAACCCACCATGAGGATGAGGGCTCCTTTCTACCCCTTCTGGATTTCACCCCTGTAAAATACGGATAACTGGGCCAACCTGCGGAGTCCCTGGAAGAGCACACATGGGACTGGATTAAATGCAGCACACAGGGTTTAGGGGTAATGCAAGTTCTTATTTATTAATATATAATAACAAAAATGATAAAGCTCACATCTGCAATTGCTTAGATCTTTGTTATAAGGTCTTGGTCACTTTGTCTGGACTGGCTGTGACCTTCAGTTCTGGTGTCTGGGCTAGGAAGACGTTCCAGTGACCTGTATAGAGGGAGGCAGAAGAGAGAAAAGAGTATGTGTGTGAGCACGCGTACAACAGAGGCGGTGACTGGGGATGGGGAAAGCTGAGGGTAGGAGGAGTTGCATAGCCAGGGGCTGGAGGAAAGAGGTGTCATCCTCATCATAACAGTTCTGGTCCATGACCCAGCCTTCAGACAACCTGTGTTTTGGGACTGGGATGGTTCCTGACTCCTGTTGGTAATACTCACATCTGTGCCCTGCCCTCCCCTACCCCTACCTGGGCCCATTTTCCTAAAAGTAATGCAGAACAAATTAAGGGTACTAAGGACAGTGAGTAGGAGGGTTTCAATGGGAAATGTTCCAGTAGAGAGGGAGTGGGCAGCACCAGGGTTTGGAGGCTTAAACCTCCCTCCTACAGCTCTGTCCTCTCAACCCCACCCCCAACACCAAGACCAAAGCCAGCCAGCTCTGCTTCACCTTCCCTCTCTGGCTTCCGAGTTGAGAAATCTGGCCCAGCCGCCCACTGGATTCCTGTGCTGGGAACTGACGTCTGTGGCTGACACCTCCCCTTGACAGCCCCTCCTCCTGGCACCAGCAGCCTGGGAACTCCCCAAGAGGTCCTGCCTCCATCCCTGCTCTCCTCTGAGGCCCCATTTCTCAGCCCAAGGTCCCACCTTCCTGGGTGCTGGTGAGCAGCCGGAAGTTCTGTGCCTCTTTCTGGAAGTCTTGCTTCCTGACTTTCTTGATCTGAATCAAGTGGAAGATTCCTGAGGGCAGAGACAAGGGCATGAGCAGGAAAAGCAGGACCTTACCGTCAGTGACTTAGACTTAAAACCAACCCAGCCACCTCCCTCCCCTTCCCCCATTCTGATCAGTCACCAAATCCTGTGGAATAAATCTGAATATTTCCATCTGCTCTCCTGTCTCACTGCCATTGTCCTCAGTCAGGCCCCCACTGCCCTGCCCCACCCACTATTATAGAGCCTAACTCTTCCTACTGCCCATCTAACGGTAATCCTAGTGGTGGCCATTTAACATGTGTATGGAACCCTGCCATTCCCCTTCTATGACATTCACATGCCACTTCCAAGACAAGGTCCATACTCCATAATCTCTTTTCTCTGCTGACCCTGCTCCTGTCACTAGCACCATCTGCTCTCACACAGCTACCTGGCCACAGGTCCAGAACAGAGAGAGAGAAGGAGGGAGTGGAAGTGGGTGGCTGGCCCATATAGACTGGTCAAGCATTCTTCTGGGCAGAGAACATATGGTAAAGACCAATAGCTGTGCTTACTCGGTCACTAAAGAACTCAGAATGGTAGTACCTTGCATGTGGTCCAGCTCTAAGCAAACACCTGAAGTTCCTGAGGGGCCAAGCCCTTCCAATGCCAACCCCTTTGCTGCAACACCTTCTCTGCTCCTTCTACTTCTCCCATTGCCAGGTGAACTGACTATTCACCAAGCTTGGCTGGTACATCTTCCCTAATCCACCCCTGAGACAGTGAGAACTTCCTCCTTGGAACAACCATAGCATTTGGCTTTTGCCATTGTACCCATTTCTAAGGTGCTACTATTATGTATATTCCAGTGTCCCTACCAGACTTCCAACTTCTAGAGGGCCTTCCTCTTTGGATCCAGAGGTTGGCCCATATCAGGTATGTAGAATGAATGAATCCCTGGATGTATGTATGAATGTATGGATGGACGGATAGGAGAATAGGTGGATGGATGGATGGATGGGAGGGTGGGTGGAAGGATGGATGGGAGGATAGGAGGATGGATGGATGAATGGATGGATGGATGGATGGATGGATGAGAGAATGGATGGATGGAGAAATGGATGGGATGATGGGAGGATGGATGAATGGATGGATGGATGGGAGGATAGATGGATGGATAAATGGGTGAGAGGATGAACAAATACATATGTGCCCAGGCTAGGTGATGCTCTGAGGAGGAATGAAGTATAGCTAGATCCCCTGAGGTTTGTAGCTCATGGGGAGCTGGCCCCTGGCAACACACATGAGACTAGGCCCTGAGCACAGTGACATCGTACCAGCTGTTACCCACCAAGGCCTCTGGCCAAAAAGAACAGATGTAACCAGCAAGACCTCTGTTAAGCCAGCACCGCCTTCAAGAAAACCAAGAACTAAACAGGTTTATGGGAATCGGAGTGGGACCCCATCAAGGGGAACAGAAAATATTGATCTTGGAACTGAGTTTTAGGAACCAGGAAACTGTCCCCAGGGCTATTTCCACTGACACTTAGCACTGTCTTTGGTACCCCCAGCCCAGAGGCCAAGGACCAGGATATAACTCCAAAAGTGCAGGGCTACATCACAGTTACAAGCATGAGATGAGGAAGGAACAAGTCCTTATACACAGGCCTGCCCCTGGAGAGGGAGTGACAGGAATGAGGGAGGGGGCCCGCACTATAGTCTCTAAAGCATAATGGGAGGACTGGGCTCTTGACCTGGAATCAAGAGCTGGCCTGAGGGCCATGGTAATGTCTCTTGTCCTTTGAAGGACTGTGAAGATTTGAGGGTAACTGGGCCCTGTGGTCCCCAAGGGCAGAACTGGCTTTGGTAGATGAGTTCCAGGAAAGAGGACAGGTTCCATTTATTGTGAAGATGAACTATGCCTGGGCTGAGCCATTCACAGTATTGGAACTGAGTCACTTGGGGGCATGTACACACTGGACCAGAGACCGTCAGGAGGCTGCAGGGACATTTCTTTCCCAGATGGGCTTAGGATTGAGACCTCTGAGGTCTTCCCTACCCTGAAGCTCCGGAATATCCAAGGTCCTTTCCCTTAGGCCAGCTCTCTCTTAGGTTCCAGTGCCTGGAGCTGGCCCTCTGTGGGGAGGCCTCACTAGCACAAGTCCCAGCACCCACCTGCCTGCTGTTTTCACTCCTCTGTGAGGACAGTGAGTGGTGTCCCCTGACAATCAGCCCTAGGAATGCTCATTTTGACTCTCCTGGTCTGAGTGGGACAGGGAAGGATTGAGGAAGCTGATCTAACATTTACGCAGTTCAGGGGTCAGGCCATGGGGAACATGGTAGTGACAGGAGGGTGGCCTGGCATTGGGAAGGTGAAGAGTCCTACACAGAGTCTTCTCTGTGGGGCCTGGTGTGATTGGCAGTGAGCTACAGCCCTGCTGTGCCATCCTGGCACAGCTTAGCCTTCCTCAAGTGGCTCCCTAAAAACATAAAGTACCTCTATGGAGGTGGCACTGGGGACATCAGACCTGGGTTTGAATCCTTGGTTTACTGTTTAAACTGTGTGACTTTGAGCAAATTGTTTGATTTCTCAGGCTCAGTTTTCTTATCTACAAAATGGGCATTCATACATACCCCTTAGGTTTCTCACGAGGATTAGATGAGGCGCATGCTACATAGTGCCTGCTACATGCAGGTCACAGAGTACAGGGAATGTGATCGTAGGCTCTGGAGCCAAAGTTTGAGGCTGTCACTACCATTCTGCCAGCAAAGCACCCCTTTGAAGTCCCTCTCAGCCCCCTACATTGTGGAGGCCCATCTCTGGCAGCCTTTCCTGGCCAGCTCAGCCCCCGACAGCTCTCACTGCACTTGGGTCACTAAGCCATGCATTCCTGAGGACAGAACCTGGGGCTTATTACTTTCCATGGCCCCAGCACCTGCTTGGAGAGTGTGGATTCTGGGGAGGCCCAGAGTAAACATGCAGCCAGCACCTGCCCAGGGACTGACAGAATCTTAAGACTCAAAACAATGGAAAGGACAGACCCCCCAGCCTTGCTCACACACTACTCTAAGCAGAGATTGCTCCCTCCCTCCTCTGTAGGAAGGCTCTGGTTATGAGAAAGTTCCTCTCATTGATAGGAAACCTGCCTCTCTGCAATTCTTACCAACCCATGGGTGGGAGGAGGAAACTGACATTTGCAGTATGTTTATAGGTTAGGCGTTATCCTTATATCATTTCATTTAATCTTACAAAACCCCTCTTCCCCGATTAACAGAAGAGAAAACTGAGGTCCAGAGAGGTCAAGTGATTGCCCAAGTTCATACAGCTAAGAAAGAGCAGAATCAGGATTTGAAGTGGCAGAGGTGGGATTCGAACCCAGGTCTGCCTTATTCCAAAGCCCATGCTTGTGGTCTGACCCTTGTGATCACTCAGAACATGGCTGTTCCCTCTGCCTGGGGCAGCCCTTCAGAACCATGAAGCCAGCAGTCCTGGCCCCCTGAGTCTTCTCTTCTCCAGGCTGAACAGCTCCACTTTCTTCGTCCATTCTTCCTACGACAGGGGGCAGAGTAGAGCAGGGAAAGAGCCGCATCTGACGTCACAAGACATGGGCTCTAGCTCCCGTCCTCTACTTACTGGCTGTGTGGCCTTGGGCCAGGTACTTCACCTCTCTGAGCCTCAGTTTCCTCATCTGTAAAATGGGGATAATAATATCTAACTCTCAGGATCATTGAGGATCAAATGAGATAGTGAATGTGGAAGCACTTTATAAAGTGCGACACACATTGGTTGTCATGGTCATTCATCATTCTTAACATCATTCCCTCTTCCGCTTCCACCCCACTCCCCCGGCCAAACCCATCAGTGGAGAAAAGTGACCTTATCAGTAATTCACACTTAAAGAGTTTAGTTTGAATTGTGGTTTAATGTTTCACTCTACCCAAAAACCAAACTCTCAGCAACCCCCTTATCAGTGAAAACTCCTCCTGATCTTCACTTGGTAATAGGAGCAGCCTATTAAATAGGGCAATTTTCTCACAGAATTCTGACATCAACTTACCTTGAAGTGATAGGATCCACCACTGAGAAAAGGCTGAGTGAAACTAGCCTCAAGGCCTAGTGCTTTGGGGATGCTGTCCTGCCTAGAAAGATCTGCCTCAGGGGCCACTGAAATCCTACCATTAAACATCTCTCAGTTCCATCAGGGTAGGCTCCTTGCAAGATGCAATAACCCCTTCCCCCCAGGAGAGGGAGCACTTCAAGGCCTTGGCATCTCAGAGAGGGAATTTATCAGAACTGTCAAGAGAATCACAGACCAAGTTGGTCTCCCAGCTTCTTGGAATCAGGGACTCTTACACCTGAGAGGGCATTCAGAAGCACCTGATCAACAAAACACGCCTAAGGCCCCGGGGGATCTGGAGGACAGGAAGGGGAAAGGCCAGAGGTATCCCCAGCCCAGAGTGAGCTGCTCACCTTTTACCAGCTTCCAGAGGTAGATCTCCACCTGATCAGAGGCTTCGTGCTCAAGGGCAAAGCGATGCAGGGTGTCTGGGCTTGGGGATACTGACGTGTGGACGAGAACCCGGCTGGGCGCTGTGGGACACCTGGTGGAACTGATCTCACTGTGGCCAGGGTCTGCCTTGTCCTCTGGATGAGATAAGGAACTCGTGAAGTGTTCAATCAGCAATGGCTATTCTTGAAATTTCTAAGGTTCTAAGACTTTATGACTTGATGGAGTCCAGACATTATATGAGTTTACATCTTTGTCAGGCACCTGATTCTATTACTATAACATTTGATCGTTCCATTACGGTCTGACATTTTCCCCTCCTGTGCTCCTACAGTCCGTGCATCTATAAACCCTGCGTCCTGTGGCTCTGAGTGTGTGCACCTCCAGGTCTGAGATATTCCAAATGTCTGTGGCCCTGGGGAGAGTGTCTGTGCCCTCCCTGCTCCCAGCACCTCCTTGTACCTGGGCAAATCTTGCAGCACTTGCCAGCCACTTTCTCAGGGTGATGGCATGGATACTCGGTAGGGCAGGTCACACGCTGACAGTCCTGGTGGCCATCCTGACAAGTACATAGGATGCAGGGCAGGGGGCCAAAGGAGCGGAAGGCGGGGTGCCACACCTCCCCATGGGAATATGTCTTCCCTCCATGCACGCAGGCTAGATGAGGACAGGAAGGGTGAAGGGTCAGTGCCTCAGGCCCAGCCAGATTCTCTGGGCAGCAGCAGATGGGATGGGCCCTGGAGGAGCTCCCTCCCCGCAACAGTGTGACCTGCAAAGCACAGGCCAGGGTGTAACACCTGTCCTCTGACACTCCCCCATCTCAGCACCCAGGGCTGAGATGCCCCAGTAGGGACTAGCTGAAGATGGAGAGCCCTCCCCTAGCTTCGGGAGCAAGGAGAGGGCTGGCCTGGGGGTAGGAGAACTGAGATCAACTTGACACCTGTTGATCGCATGAGCTCTGGCAAGTCCCTTTCCCCTTCCCCACATCAGTGTCCTATCTGTGCAATGGCTGGGATTTGGTAGCCACATGGCTCTCCATCACCACCAGTGGGGGACCCCTGCAGTGAGGCCCTGACCCTTATGCAGCCCTGGCTTCCCCGACTCCATCCCCACGGTCTCTCTGCAGCCCAGCTCCCTTCTTCCTTTGTCAAAAATTTCCTCAGCACTGCTTGATATTAATTTATTCATCTTTCTCCCCAGCTAGCCCATGAACCACTTGAGGGCAGAGACCATTCTTCACCTCTCTGTTCTGTCTCTTCCATTTACCAGAAAAGACACGACAGAGGCTCAAAAAATATTGCTGTAATGTTCTAGGACTGGTTCTATCTCTGACTCAATGCTGTGCCATTCAAGGTCCTGTCAAATGGGGGTTAGACCCCTTGACCTCCAAGGGCATTTCAGTTTTGATATTCTATGAGATTACAAGCTCATGGCCAAGTTGAGTTGGGGGAACCAGAAGAAGGGGTAAAGGAGGTAGACACAGTTGGGTCCCCTGCACCCATCAACAGATTGGAGGAGGGTCCAGCCCCACCTTTCTTATGTTTCTCCTTCAGGACAATCTTGACAGTTGTGCTGCCTGCCCCCTTTGGTCGGAAGTGACGAGGGATGAAGCCCCGAGGGGAGCTGGGGCCAGTGGGGGCTGGGGTGCCAGGGTCTTTCTTTCTCCCACCATCGCCTGAACATGGATCCTGGGAACGTCTCTGCAAATGGCAAGAAGAACACGGCTCACTCACTGAGTGCCACGGTCCACTGCTGGGGGAGGAGCCATGGGCAAGGCTGCAGCAAGAGGCCTGAGGGTGAACACCACAGATTTCCCAGTAAAGAGAGGGCATAGGCTCCAGATAGAAAGATCTGGATGGAGTCTAGGATGTTCTCAGTGGATCTTTGAAAACTCTCAGAGCATAGTGATTTTAAAATCCAGTCTCCATCAAACCTTTCCAGGCCTCGTCAGAGCCAGGACCTTGGGGCTGGAGTGAGTAGAAGCTGCTGAGGTTTTGATCTGGGAGACATAACTGATGAAAGATGTGGAGAACTTAAGTGAGAAACAGAAAGTGAAGACAGTGTGCACGCCTAGCAACTCAGGATGCTGAGGCAGGAGGATTGCAAGTTCAAGGCCAGCCTCAGCAACTTAGAAATGCAGCATCTTAGCAAGATTCTGTGTCAATTTTTTATTTAAAAATAAATAAAGTTAAAAGGGCTGGTGATGTAGCTCAGTGGTAAAATGCTCCTGTTCAATCCCCAGTGCCAAAAAAAAAAAAGAAAGAAAGAAAGAAAAGAAAAAAGAAAGTGATACATAGTAAGAGTACGAACCAGGAATTTTCTTTTGTGTGAGAAGAGTTAGTTGGTATGAAAAAACGATGGGCCTCTGAAGATCCCAGTAGGTCCCCAAATCCTATGGGGCAGAAGACTAAGATCAGGCTGCATGCAGAGACAAAAGTCTTCAAGCTCAAAAGTCTTTTCCTGAGCTCCTGGAATCCAAGAGCCCAAGGTGCTGCCCCTTCAGATCAGATCTGGACTAGCAATGATGGCAAAGGGTGGGAAGCGAGGGCAGCTTACAGGCTTTGCAGTTCAGTTTGGGAACTGGGCAGCTCCAGGCCTTGGGAGAGGAGCAAGTGGACAGGGGACAGAGCCTAGTACTGCCCTCTCCACCCAGAGTCACATCCCTTCTTCTAAAGCTCATTCCTGCCCATACAGTCTCTGAGTCACTTCTTTCGTAGGCCAGAGACTGAGCTCACAAGAGGTCCCAGTGTAGAAACTGTCCCAGACCCTAGCACAGGCCCAGGTACACAGAAAACTTCCAGGAAATGCTTTTTGAGTGGAATTGAGGTAAGAAGGACTTAGGGAGTCCACTCCCCATGTGGTGACTTGCCCAATTCATCCAGCAAGTCAGTAAGTTGCTGCCCTGGGCCTGGAACTAAGCTTGGGTGGGCTTGAAGTTACACTGCCTCCTAGGGAGAGGATAGAATGGCTCAGGTCCTGTGGCACAGGCCTCCCCTTGAGAAGGTCCAGCCTGGAAAAAGAGGATGATCTGGCAGAGAAGGAGAGGTCATGAGCACTCCTGAGGATCTCTGAGAAGAGGAACCCAGCCTCCAGTGCCCCAGGATTCAGGAGACCCAGGCTGAAAGAGCAGGTGAGATTGTTCCTACTGTAGACCTAGCACAGAGGATCAATGGGAGACTCGAGTCAGTGTCTGGCCCTTTCTCCCACCTCCTTCCTCTCAGACCAGCAAGAGAGCAGTTCAGCCCAACTTAACTGCAGACTGGACTGGGAAGGGAAAACAGAGAGGTAGATCCCAAAGAACCAGTGTCCCAAGAACTGGGTGGGGGGCCTGACTCAAACCAGAGGTCATTCCCTTAGGAGAACATGTTCCTGGAGGCAGCCCCAGGACAGGCCGGATGGAACAGTGACAAAGAGATCCCCAAGAGGGAAGTAAGGAAGTTTAGGTCCTGCTCCTAGCCTGTGTGGATATCTGTTTTCTCCCAGGCTCCTCCTGGCCCATCAGCCATGATGGGAGTGCAGCGAGAGGAACTAGACTGGGGTAGCGGGGAGGTGGCTAGCATAGCTGACCCAAGGCACTAATGATCCATGAGTCATGCGGATTTAGGCCCAGATACAGCCTCTCTATCCTCCCTACTAGGGTAAGCTACATACTTACCATCCCACTGTGTGTTTGCAAGGGATCCTCTTCAGCTGATGTCTCACCTGCTCCATCTGAAAACTCAAAAGGAAGATAGGTCAGCCTCCAGTTCCTCAGCCCTGCTAGCTCCAGCCCTGAGGCTTCCATCCACAGACTCTGCCCTTTCCAGAGTCTAGTCCACAGCCCCAGCCTACCAGCGGGCTCCTCTGCCCAGGGGTAACTCATCCCACTTTCCATTTCAGCCTCCCCTCATCCTGGATTTCTTCCTTGTTTTCCCCACAATGACCTCCTGGTCACCATTAAGACTGAACTGCTTGACCAGGCCAGAGCATCGTGTTCATCTTGGGTTTTTTTTTTTGTTTTTTTGTACTGGGGATTAAACCCAGAGGTGCTTAACCACTGAGCTACATCCCCAACTCTTTTTTTATTTTTTTATTTAGAGACAGGGTCTTGCTGAATTGCTTATGGCCTTCCTAAGTTGCTGAGGCTAGCCTTGAACTTGTGATCTGCCTGCATCAACCTCTCAAATCTCTAAATCAGGCACAGTGGTGCCACTTATAGTCTTACTAGTTGAGAGAATGAGGCAGGAGGGTTCCTTTGAGCTCAGGAGTTCAAGAGTAGCCTAGACAACATAGCAAGATTCTGTCTCAAGAAAATAAAAACAAAACCAAATCACGC